TATCTATACCTACCAAATATATGTTCATATTTTACAACAACTAGTACGTATCCCGTGCGATGCACGGGACAGAGATATTAAATGAGTTATTTCACAGTCTTTTCAGTTTAAGTCTAAAAAATAATAGAGTTATTATCTATTTTCTACCTCTTTTAATCAACATTAAGCCAAAAAAACAATAGAGTCGTAAGCTTTTTTCTACATCTTTTAGCCAACGTTGTTTTTTTAGCCAGAACATTAAATATGAGCATGTTATGGCTAGCTTGTAAAATAATTAATATATTATCTCACTAAAACATTTATACTAATAAAAATTTAATTTTAGCATATAAATTTATCCATTGATATAAGAGAAAGTAACAATTTTATTTATTTTGTCACCATATAATATTTAATTACTATTTTATATATTATATAATAAAAAAGAATATTGTTAAATAATGCCGTAAAATTTTTATAAAATTATATGATTTCTTTTACAATATAGATTTAATATCTTTTTATGATTTGATAATATAATAATAATATATTCTTAATGATATAATTATTTACTTATTATAGCTAGAATGCTGACAAATAAAAAAAAACTATTAGATGCAGCTAATATTCTGCTATAAGATAAGGTTTTCTCGTTATGATGAGGTTTTTATCCATCATATTTTTCTACACATTTATTAGATTAAAAATTTAGATGCAGCCATCATTCTGCTATAATTATGATAAAAGTTTCCTCGGAGCGAGATGCATGTCACATGTGATCTAAACTTTTTGATTTTTTTTATTTTGTTACTTTTAATTATCACAAATTTGACCGTGTGAATTGATTTACAACATAATGTACGTTCAATTTTACAACATACTCTACATTCAATTAAAATTGGTGGAAAGAGGAGTAGTCCATTAGACTTATAAGGTGGGTCTATTTTCCATGTATGAACGATGTGGAACAACTCACAAGTGATATTCTAACACGCCTCTCACCTCATAATTAACGTTGTTAACTTTTATATATTTTACTTTTTTCAACTATATATTAATCCTTAAGGGCAATCCTCCTAGTTTTACATATAATATAACTACATGATTCAATTGTCAATTGGGATTAACATATTATTTTTTATTTGTATCTATTTGTCGATTTATTAATTAAAAAAATAAATAAATTGTCGGGCGCACATGGCCATAATCATGTTATTTTCAAACTAGAATTTGTAAGAAACTGAGGTAAAAATGTGCGGTCCTACTAACATGAAGCGCAACAAAAGCGGAGAAGAGCCCATATGAAGCCAAGTGGAGTTCTATCCCAAAACCAATTGGTGGAAAGATGAGTAGTCCATTAGACTTATAAGGTGAGTCTATTTTCCATGTATGAACGATGTGGAAGAACTCACAAGTGATATTCTAACACGCCCCCTCACCTCATAATTATCGTTGTTAACATTTATATATTTTACTTTTTTCAACTATATATTAATCCTTAAGGGCAATCCTCCTAGTTTTACTCAAAATTTAACTACATGATTGAATTTTCAATTGGGATTAACATATTATTTTTCATTTGTATCTATTTGTCTATTTATTAAATAAATAAATAAATAAATTGTCATGCGCACATGGCCATAATCTTTTTATTTTCAACTAGAATTAATAGATAAATTAGAATTTTTATTTATGGATTTATTATTTTTTATTTTATTTTTATCAATGCAACATGAATATTGTTAAATTATGACATACACACACACACACACACCCGATCCCATAATATTTAGTCCGGTAAAATTCAGCGTTTCTGTAAAGTGAGGATGTGTTTGAAGTCTGATACAAGTCGGTTTTGCTAAAGACAAGGGAGAAATATGATGACGGCCATCTAATCTCGATGATGTCGCTGTAAAATAAACCAAATATATATATATATATATATATATATATATATACAGTTTTAGGGTTACCTAATGACTAAAATAATAAATACAAATATAATACACAATAACACCCATCCTCAAATTGGAGTATGCGGATTTCGAATGCCCAACTTTCCAAGAAAGAAGCCAAATCCACGTTTTCCAAGCGCCCTGGTAAAGATGTCAACCAGCTGTGCGCCAGAGGGAACATGAGTAGTAGTGATGAGACCTTGTAGAAGAGCATCACGAACAAAGTGACAATCCATGCGCTCGTGAAAAACCGGATTGGCGGCAATATGCAGCGCGGATTGACTATCACAATGCAACTGCATAGGCTGTAAATGAGCTACACCAAGACTAGACAAGAATCCTCATAACCACTCAGCTCACACAGGGTTGTATCCATTGCCCGATATTCAGCCTCAGCAGAAGATCGAGCAACAGTATGTTGTTTCTTGGTACGCCAAGAAACGGGAGACTGACCCAGCTGAACAAGCCAACCTGAAAGAGATTGTCTA